TGCACTCCAGTCTGGGCGACAGAGTGAGACTCTAACTCAAAAAAAATAAAAAATAAAAAAATAACACTCAGGGCCAGGTTTAGTGGTTCATGTCTGTAATCCCAGCACTCTGGAAGGCCAAGGTGGGAGATTGGCTCAACATAGCGAAAGCTCGTCTCTACAAAAGAATAAAAAATTAGCAAGCCATGGTGGCATGCACCTATAGTCCAAGCTACTCAGGAGGCTGAGGTGGAAGGATCGTCTGAGTCCAGGAGGTCGAGGCTGTCGTGAATCATGATTGCAGCCACTGCACTCCAATCTGGGTGACAGAGTGAGACCCCCAACTCAAAAATAAATAAAATCACACTCAGTAGTTCAGCATTTCTTCTCCTTAGCACCCAAGGTTTGTATTTTAGTCTCCCAAAATGCTTTAAAAACATGAGCTTTCAGGTACATTGTCAGCCATATTTCATCCTACGATCCAGATGAGACTCAAACAGGCTTGTTCTGACACCGGCCCGGGGCCCCTGTGTTCTGGCACGGGAGGCCTCAGAGGAGGGCCGTGGAATGATTCAGACCAAGTTTGAGGTTAGAGTGTTTATGTAACAAATCAGTTCAACTTAAATATTTCTCGTGGTGCGGTCAGGGCTGCAAACCCTCAGCCAGCACACCAACGTGCATGGCCTCTGTTTACGCAGCCCTGTGGGGCACCCCTGTGGACGGAAAAAGACGCCGCTCGTTCAATGCCAGTTCCTATTTTCAGTCATACATCATGCTGCTCACATATTTTATTTTACAATCAGGGCTGTGAAGAGACAGTTTTTCAGACCATCATCAGCCCGGTTCTATTTGTGTATGTGTGTATGAGGAAGACACATCTAATGAATGTTCATCTGGCGGAGACTCACAATTAAGGAATGTTTCTTCCTCAGATAATTACACGAGCCCTGATAATCTTCCTCTAAGTCAGCCTCTGATTGCCTCCCCCCTTGATGGAGACAATGTGTACCAGACAGACAGCAGAGACAGACTCCCTGTGAGAACAGTGGAGGCTCTCCCAAGTCCGCAAGAGCCAGCTCCGTGAGAAGCGAAGCTTTCCAGCCTCTTCCCGGAGCTAGAAGCCAAAGGATTGTTGGGGCCCAGGGGAAAGAAATGCTGAATAACTCCCAACTCTTCCTGAGGCATTCTCCATTGTGACTTCACTACTTAGTTTGAAAAAAACATTTTTTTTTTTTTTTGAGTTGGAGTCTCACTCTGTCGCCCAGACTGGAGTGCAGTGGCCACTCCCGGCCACTCAGCCTTGCCCGCTGGGCTCCGGCAATCCTTCCACCTCAGCCTTCCGAGTAGCCGGAATTACAGGCATGCACTACCATGCCCGGCTGATATTTTGATTTATTGTAGAGATGAGGTCTCGCTGCCCAGGCGGGTCTCAAACCCACGGCCTCAGGCAATCCACTCACCTTAGCCTCCCAAAGGAGCGGGATTACAGGCTGAGCCACCAAGCCCGGCTTATATATTTTTTTGAGTTGAAGTCTCACACCGCAGCCTTGACCTTCTGGGCTCAGACAATCCTCCCACCCCAGCCTTTCAAGCAGACAGAACTACAGGCGCGTGCTACTACTACGCCTGGCTAATTTTTTTTTACTTATTGTAGAGATGAGGTCTCACCAAGTTGCCCGGGCGGGTCTCGAACCCATGGGCTCAGGCAATCCACTTGCCTCAGCCTCCCAAAGTGCTGGGATTACAGACTGAGCCACCGAGCCCTGTCTATTTTTAGTTTTCTTTTCTTTTTTTTTTTTTTTTGAGTTGGAGTCTCACTCGGTCACCCAGACTGGAGTGCAGTGGCCACTCCCGGCCACCGCAGACTCGACCTGCTGGGCTCTGGCGATCCTTCCGCCTCAGCCTTCCAAGTAGCCGAAATTACAGGCATGCGCTACCACACCCGGCTGATTTTTTATTTATTGTAGAGATGAGGTCTCACTGCCCAGGTGGGTCTCGAACCCACAGGCTCAGGCGATCCACTCACCTCAGCCTCCTAAAGGCGTGGGATTACAGGCTGAGCCACCGAGCCCGGCTCTAGTTTTCTTTTCTTTTATTTATTTATTTTTTTGTAGAGATGAGGTCTCACTATGTTACCCAGGCTGCTCTTGAACTCCCGGGCTCAAGTAGTCTTCCTGCCTCAGTCTCCCAAAGTGCTAAGATTGCAGGCATGAGCCACACTGCCCAGCCTTGGTTTGAAATTCAAATTCCCAGAATATCAGACAACCCTAAAACCAAATATGAGCACAGAAATGCATTCCAAAGCCAAATGCAAATTGTTTTTTAAATTATTTATGCTACCTCACTCACCATTAGAACAGATCATTGAACTAACTGCAAATACACATAAACAGAAGTGACAGAAACAGAAACATCCACAACAAACTACACAGGGACAGAAACCCCCACTTAAGTGCTCCAGGATTAGGGAGAAGGAAAAACCAAGGAAGGTGGGAGACCACACTCTGGAGCCAGGCACCAGCCGGGACCATTCTGAAAAAAGCCAGCAAGACGGAGCTGGTTTGGGGAGAAGGGATGGTGTGTGGCCGGGAGGAAGGGAAGTGGCAAGGCTGGGGTCTGAGCTTGTGCAGGGAAAGATGAATTGGTGGCAGGTTCTGGTTTCTGACAACTCTGAACTCAACGAGGCGAAAGTGACACATGGAGCTCTGACCAACATGAAAACAAGAATGCAGCTCGGTGCAATGGCTCATGTCTGTGATCCCAGCACTTTGGGAGGCGGAGGCGAGAGGATTGCCTGAGCCCAGGGGTTCGAGACCAACCTGGGCAACTTGGCGACCCTCATCTCTAAAATAAAAATTAAAAAATCAGCTGGGTGAGGTAGCGCTTGTCTGTGGTTCCAGCTACTTGGAAGGCTGAGGTGGAATGATTGCCTGAGCCCAGCAGGTTGAAGCTGCAGTGGCCATGAGAGTGCCATTGTACTCCAGCCTGGGTGACAGAGTGAGACTCTGATTCAACTAAAAAAAAAGACCAGGCTTGGTGACTCAGCCTGCAATCTCAGCATTTTGGGAGGCCAAGGCAAGTGGATTGCCTAAGCCCGTGGGTTCGAGACCAGCTCGGGCAACTTGGCAAGACCTCGTCTCTACAATGCGACAGAGTGAGACTCCAACTCAAAAAAAAAAGAAAGAAAGAAAGAAAGAAATTAGCCGGGCGTGGTAGCGCGCATATAGTTCCAGTTACTTGGAAGGATCGCAGGAGTCCAGCAGGTCGAGGCTGTGGTGGCCGCTCCAGCCTGGGCGACAGAGTGAGACTCCAACTCAAAAAAAGGAAAAAAAAAAAAACGAGAGAAAGCAAGCAATGCAGAAGCTGCTGGCGGTCCTGCAAGCTTGAGACAGAGCATGGGAAAATGGCATCATGTCGACCACCTTCCACCCCTGACTAACCTCACTCACTCCTTTGCGGAGGAAGAAAGGAGTAAAAATGTTCTAGAAGCGACTTTCCTATAATGAGTGGCAATTTGGGAACAAGGATATGCTAAAGGGTAAATGGGCTGGGCTCGGTGGCTCAGCCTGTAATCCCGTGCTTTGAGAGGCCAAGGTGAGTGAATTGCCTGAGCCCGCGGGTTCGAGACCCGCCTGGGC